TGAGAAGGTGGTGGTGAGTCTATTGGAAAAAAGGATTCGTGGAGAACACGGCGGTTGTGGGCGGAGACGGCGGCGAATGATATACAGTGAGTTGAGCAGAAAAGGAAAAGGAGGAAGAAGAAGAAGGGAAACACCATTGTAGTATACAAAATGCTTTTTTTCTTAAATAAAAAAAATGGCACTTAATCAAGAATCAAGAATCAAGAAGAAGAACAAGTTGTTCAAAAAGAGAAAAATATGAAAACTTTATGGTAAGGTAAAAGCATTGTTGTGTACAAATGCTCTGCTCTGCTTTGCTTTTTTTTTGTATTTGGTCAATGAAAACTGCTGCTACTAGTTGAAGAAGACAAGATGCATAGGGAGGAGTGGACTGAGTTTACAGTAGGGAAAAAAGGACAGGAGATTAGCATTAAAATTTGCATGGCTGTTGAAAAAAGAGAGAGTGAGAAGAAGAGAGAAAAAAGTGTGTTTGTGTGTGAAAAGGTAGAAAATTAAGGAGATTATGGAGTAATTATTATTGTAGTATTAAAAAGTACGTAGTATTCCTAGAAGAATGGACCAATTTGAGGACAGTGGTAATGTTGGTGTATCCAGCTAATAATATTCCGCTGTTGAATGAATGATGATAGTAATACATTACTTTCTGCTGCATGTTGTTGTGATTGCAACTCTGTGTGAGTTATAATGCTATTAGTCCATTTCAATTTATATGTATTACTTTTTTTAAAATATGTTTATGCGTCTTATTTTCTTTTTTATTATGTTTCAAAAAAATATTTTTTTTTTATTTTGAATTTCTTGAAAAAAGTAAAAAAAATTTAAGTGAATATGATATTTAAAAATTAAAGTTATGTTTTGATATAAATACAATTTGGAGCTATTTTTGAATTTTTATAAATAATTTGAAGTATAATTTCTTCCTTTTGGGATTTTTTAAAATTTTCGAAAAATTTCAAAATTTAAGTCAAATACTAATTCCAAAAAAAAATAATTTTTATTTCTAAAAAGTAAAATAATTTTTATGGCCGGGCCCTTAATAACTCTTTAATTCCAATTTTTTATATAGCATTTTTAAGATCTCAAGATTCGAAGAAATTTTGATGTACAGTACTACATATCTTTAGTTTAAGAAGATAAAATTTATTTATTTATTTATTTTTTTTAATTTCGTGTACAATCAAATTAAAATACAATAAGAAGGGAGTAATTTATAAGTGGCCCCTTTCTCGTATCTCAATGATTCGGACTTTGATCAATGTTGTCTGTCCCATTGCTTTTGCTACCTTGTCCTACTTCCTGCAGCAGTTACACCTTTTACACAGGAAGTAAGTAGATATTTATGTTTGTCTTTCTTCCATTATTACTTTTTTTATTTCCCCTTCGGTATTCGATACCCATATTAAAACCCGACAATATCCGGATTCACATCGCATAGGATTTTTTTTTTAGTTTTTTTTTTAAAAAAATGCTTTAAAAAAAAACTAAAATTTATTTTTTGTAAAAACTGAAAAAAAACTGAAAATATTTCAGTTTTTACAAAAAATATTTTTCAGTATTTTATAAAGCAATTTTTTGTAAAAATTGAAAAAAAAATATTTTACAAACTGAAAAAAAAAGACTTTCATAAAGCAGTGGACTACAGGGATATTAGTTTTAAAAAAAATAAAAATATTTTGTTGAATCTTTTTTTTCCAGTTTTTACAAAAATATTACTTTAAAAAATTTATTTTTCGGGTATGGATAATGGGTATGGTTATGAGTATGAGTCTTTTTAATTAATTAGAAGATATTTAGAATTGTCCAACAGGACGATGACACGTGTCCCTCTGTTTAAATGAGGAATATATTTGAACCCAAATTATAGCGGCAGAGGTATATTTGGACTTATAGTATAACGAAAGATATATTCAAACCTTTTTCCAAATAGAGAGATATATTTGGCCATTTTCAGTATTTTTAATTAGCCGTACCAAACGAGTTCTTAGTCTTGCTAATATATAGAACGAGAAAGGCAATAGGGGTTTGTATAACACTGGATGTTGCGCTGCATGATTCTATACTTCCATTGCATTATGAATGAATAAAAGTAATATACTCCTAGTTAGTATTAGACAGCAATAGTATCATAAATAATTTTTTAAATAAAGCATCATTTGACTGATTTGGTAATATTATACATAAGAATGTGGCCGACAATGATTTAACAATTATTTTAAACTCCATAGATATTAATGCTCTCCTTACTATTACTCCATATTTAAATCAACAGAAAATCACCTCCCACGTACAGTAGGTATATAAACTAATACTACACATTGTGTTTGTAGATGACTCACCAATACCGAGGGAAACAAAGAGAATAATTAACCCATTTTTTTCTAGGATTTAAGTTTTGCCGTTGGTATGTAAATATTATTATTTGTATGTAAATATTTACACAGTTACGTTATTTATACGTTAATTATAGATAATTTTTATTATAAATATTAATAAATAACGTAGTAAAAATGGTATATGGTATGTTATCACTAATTAAACTGTATAGATAGTATAATTTTTTTTTTTTATGTTATCAATATTAGTAAACCATTTTTTATCTATAGGAATATGAACATCTTCAACATGATTTCTTCACTACTATTTTTTTTTTACAAATCTAGGAGAATTTTTTTTTCTGGAGCCGAGGTTCTATCAGAAATAATTTTTTAACCCCATCAACGGGGCAAATATAGCCATAATTTTAACATTACAATGAATTTAATCCTAAATCTTAATAGTTAAACCTATTAAATTTAAATTCTAGATACGTCTTTGCCCACAAGATAAGGGTAATATTTGTGTACACATTATGTTGGCCTCCGAGATCTTACACTGTAAAAATATACTGATTACGTTGTTATTGTTAGTAGTAATGTGAGCATCATATGTTCTTTAAAGGGATCCATTCTTTAAATGGTTTTTGGGTTTGATCATATGAGCTCTACTGTAGAATTCAAACTTAACCATAAAGTAAGAAAGTGTTATTTTATAGTACTTACTAGTTGATACTATTATAACACACAGTAATAAGATTCTTCGACCAAATTATAGATACTAGTATTACACGTTCTTTAAAGTGTGCTAATTGAGTTGCCCAATTACAAAGTTAAAGTTGCAAAACCAAAACTTGTTCTATTAGATAACTTTACATCTAAGACTTTTTGGATCGGACAAAACAAAGTACCCAATAATTAAATTGAATGTGTCCGAGGGTTTGTAGGTCCATGTTAGGCTAAAAAGCATTTATTATCCCTCATTCTTACTTATTACTAATTATGTAAATAAAAATAAATTTTGAAAAAATAAAATTAATTCCTAAAAATATAAAATGATCACTTATTGTAAACAGGAGAGAGTAATATCTAGTTTTATTGTACTCTTTAATAAATATACTTTAATAATCATAATTAACTGTATAAAATTTCTACCCTCTATTAGTTTGCAGATATGAACAGCTTATAGGTTATGTTGCTTCTGAAGTTCTGTGATAGCTATTGGGACCTTGTTGTCCAGTAGTATAGCCCGCTTGGCTAAGTTTCAAAAATCAGTTTATTTTGAAAAAAGTTTAATTTTAGTGAGAAATATTTTGTGTTTGACTTATTAATTTAAAAAGTACTTCTGAGCAGTAATTAGTGTTTGGCCAAGCTTTAAAAAATTATTTCTAAGTATGTTTTTTCTCAAATTCTTTTTTCAAAAAAGTGATTTTGGAGAGAAACTATTTTTTTCTGCTTCTCCAAAACTGCTTCTACTTCTCCTCAAAAACACTTTTTTTCCTTTCAAAAACTTGGCCAAACACCTTAATTTTAGAGAAAAAAAATACATTTGACCAAAAAAAGCGATTTTGCCTCAAAAGAAACTTGACCAAACATGCTATTAGCTTCTTCTTTTTTTCCGTAGTTACACCTGAATTTTGGTAATAAATTTTTATTTACCAAAAAAAAAAATTATAAGAATATTTATATAAACTATCATTTTTCTCTTTTTTAAACGTATCACATAAGTAACACCACTCGCCACTCGGAGATGTAAGGGTGACTTTGTAAAAAAAATATTTTTTGTTTTCCTAAATCATTAAACTTATTAGAATAAATTTAGTTTGCTAGAAATCTAAAACAACTAATGTTTGGGAATAAATAAAGTATTAATCCATTTATCTCAGTTTATATACTAATATTTTCTTTTAATCTATTCTAAAACAAAATTAATAAGTAGTATTTCATATTTGAAAAAAACTATTAACTTCAATTTTATTTTTGATTACAATTTTTTATAGTCACACAAACATATTAACTACAAGTTTCAAAAGTTTTATAAACATGCAAATACTATAATGTGTTTAAAATCACAAGTTTCAGTGTCCAATAAAAGTTTAAACATTTAGAGAAACATAATTAAAGTATATATTCACAATAATTTGAACATTTAAAAAATGAGGCAAATAACTTTTTATAATATGTTAAATTGTATTGACTGTTTAAAAAGTTATTACATCATCAGCGATATAAAGCAAATCCTTTATAAAATGTCAATTAGTACTTCG